AGGGTCGCTATGAGTCGCAAACGACTCGATGGCACATAACAACAACAACAACAACAACATATATATAATGTCCATAAGAGGAAAATCTCAAGGCAGTCAGAATGCAGTGTAGTAGTACGCCTAAGGCTTGAGGGAAATAAGAAAAATGGAGTCTTTAGTCATTGCTTGACTGATAACCTAAATTTGTGGTTCAAATCTACCTAACAGTACCAAGACAACAGGTCTGATAAATGCTTCTGTCAAGATTATAGCTAATCTATATAACCCTAGGGAGTAGTTCTAAACTGTTGCACATGGGTCATTATGATTTATAACCTACTTGATGATAACTAATAACAATAACAACAAGGAGACTGGATAGTGGCAGTTAATAACTAATAGTAACAACAGGGGGAGAATAGCTATAGGCTTTCTGTTTTAGGGTGATATAAATAATCTGGTGTTGTAGTACACAGGGAGCTGCACTGCTATTTCAAAAGTAGTCTCCTCTGGTGATGTGACTCCACCAAATGCTCCTTAGAAAAAAGATGAACAATTTGCTCCTATGAGATTTACAATGTCGGAAACTGGGTGGAAGCTCAGTTATAAGTTGGTTCCTATTCTACAGCACTGAGTTTTGAGTTTAACACAAAAGACTGTTCTCTTCATACTAGTAGGTGAATAACTAATTCAGTTTATAAAAATAATAACTTGTTGAAAATATATAAAAATATTTTGTTGCATTTTGTAAATACAACAAAACTTTTGATATTTTAATGAAAATTTAGAGAAAACTTGGATTTCCATTCAGTCATTGTTGCACATTTTCCTTCCACCTCCCACTCCAGTTCACTTTCCTCTTTGAAAAGATTCTTTCCAAAACAACTATGAGATATCATCTCACCCCAGTCAGAATAGCAAAATTTAACAGAACAGCAACCAACAAATGCTGGCGAGGTTGTGGAGAAACTGGAACCCTTATTCACTGTTGGTGGAAGTGTAAAATGGTGCAACCACTGTGGAAGGCAGTATGGCACTTTCTTAAAAAGTTGCAAAGAGAAATACCATTTGATCCACCAATTCCACTACTGGGAATATACCCCAAAGAGACTGTAACTGCCACCCAAGCATATATATGCACACACATGTTTATCATGGCTTTGTTCATGATAGCAAGGAGCTGGAAAGAACCCAAGTGCCCATCAACAAACGAATGGATAGAGAAGCTGTGGTATACACACACAATGGAATACTATGCTGCACTGAAGGAACTCATGAAATATTATTCAACATGGGTAACCCTGGAGGACATTACGCTGAGTGAGATATCTCAGTCATGAAAGGACAAATACTGCACAATGCCACTGTTGTAAAATGGGACTGACATTGGGATGGGGGGAGACTAAGAAAGATGGGATAAATAATGTATACTGCATTGAAACATATGAGGGAGAAAACTGTTTGAAAGGGATATGTGATTAGGTATTATTGTCATGTCAGGAGTCCATAATGAAGGCTGCATAGTGGCGGGAGGGATTGCAAAACAGTGAAAGAATTTTTCTTTTACTTTTCAAAGAGAAGAGTGTCCTGGGGGGGAGCGGTGGACAGGGAGAAAAGTGCAACAATGAATGAATGGAAATCCAAAGTCTCTGTAAATTTTCATTAAAATTAATTAGAAAAAGAGTAAAAAAAAAAAAATAAAAAGATTCTTTCATTATTGCATTATACTACACTTGATCTTAGCCAAAAGGCTGAGAAGCGATCACTGTTGCATTATAATAAAACTTTAAATATCAAGGTGTTAAAATTGCTACCTAAACTCCATGAAATTACCCTTATATTTCTATTTTCATTCTATACATATTTTAGAACTATGGCTATTCTTAGCATCAAAATTTAATATACATAAATTTTAAAAGCATCTACATAGAAAACATTTTTTTTTATGGAATAATGTTTGGAGAAGGGTCCTGAAATCTGAACTCTATTTGCTTAAACAACTGTTAAACAACATTAACAAGGAACTAATAGATACATAACACTGATTTCATTAAAAATATTTATCTAGAGATAGAAGTCATACCTTTTCATTTCTTGTCCTTTTGGTTTAGGAGATTCACCTCCATTCAGGATCTGTTCTAAATTTTTCGTTTCTACTGATCCATTTGGCTCTGAATTAGATAGTCCAAGTAATGACCTTACCCGCTGAGACCGTACATCTAATATTGTATCTGTGTAACCTACTTCCTGAAGATATCTATAAAAGAAAAATTAAAAATATTACATTCCACATACTGTTAACACCTGCCAAGAATCAAAATAGGACCAAATTTTAGACAAGTACTTAAATTCCTAGAAGTAATTCTACAAGAAGTCTTAATAACTTTTTTCTCTAGTGACTAGTTCCAGCAATAATAACAGAAATTATAAAGCAAAACTTAAATGAAAGCTTATAAAACAGCTAGTACAGAAAGCCATTTCTCCTAAAACCTAGAAAATCTTTCAAAAAATATTTCAGCAGCTCAAAGTATGTAAATGTATATATTTGTTTTGTTCGTTTGGTTGGTTATGTTTTCCTCCTTTTTCTTTCCTTTAAAATAGATAAATTGTAAAAAAGAAAAGAGTAGAAATGAACTTCAAATAACAGTGACATGCTAATTTTAAAACTGAGTTTGATGGGCACGCTACTTACTTATCTTTCTAGAATCTACTGAACCTAATATTTAGGATGAGATTAAAAAAGAAAGGCATCAGATAATAACATAAAAATCATAATTTGCTTTGACAAGTTAAATAATTTCTCCCTCAAATATCTGAGACACTAAGGAAGGGATCTAAAAAGGAAAATTATACTACTACTGATAAAAGAACAGAAACTTGTTAGGTAAAAAAGTAATGTTATGAATTAAAACTTCATCTCCTCTCAAAAATTTTGTTTCATTCCTAACCTTTACATCTATAAAAAGAGCCTGTTTGGAAAATATGAAATTATCTTAGTTGTTTTAGTAATGAGGTTATAACAGTTGTGTGCTGTCGAGTTGGAATCAACTCATGGTTGACTCTTAGAGGCAGTATATCACATAGGAGGAGACTGTCCATCCTTCTCTCAGAGAGCAGCTGGTGGATTTGAACTGCATGCTTTTGGGACTGCAGCACAGTTTCTTACCACAGATTCTAAACCTAATTCCTCTGAGTGGCATCATATAAAAAACAGACACAAACAAAGGGAAAAGATGTCATCATGTAAAGACGATAGTAAATGAATCTCTAAAACCACAACATGTCAAGGATTGCTGGTATTTTAGCCAATAACTATAAAGAGACAAATTTCTATTCTTTATTCACTTCTCTTTTTTGGGGGCTTATGGGAGTGTTAAGGCAGCACTAGGAAATTAAGATAATTAAGCTAAGCAGGGTCGGGCCTGGTTAGTACTTGGATGGGAAATTAAGATAATTAACAATAGAGACGCCAGTTAAGGTATTAATAGAGCAAGAAGAATGAAAAAAAAAGGAGACAAGATTGTAAAAAAAAAAAAAGAGGTATTTTTTACTGCAAATAAATAGTAGAGAATGATAAAGCACATGTTCAAAAATTTTGGTTTCTAACTTGGATGACTTGATATTGGTAACAATCAATGACATGAATAAAAGGTCAGAAATAGTTTACAAACTATTGGTCAAACAAGAAGCCCTGGTGGTGCAGCAGTTAAAAGTTACAAATCAATAAGACCGCTACAGACTCTCTAAAGGAAAAGATGTAGTAGTTGAATTTCCTAAAGATTTAACATGTTGTAAACCCTTGGCATTAAAGTCTTGTTTTGTGGAGCAGGTTTGGTTTGTTACTTATCAGATAAGGATGTGGTGTGTATAAAAGAATCAAATGGCAATATTTATTAGGTACAAATATAAGAAAGGACACAAGAATAAGAAAATAGAGATTTGGGGGGTAATCAGTGTTTGGTGGTATTAGAAGCCATGGATTTACAGAAAGTAACTTGGGTTTAGGGGGGGTACCTATATATTAAAACACTGGAAGCAGCAGTTGCATCCACTTCCTAAACAACATGCCTCTGGAAACTCTATGAACTTTGATAAATGTCAATAGTTATAGAAAGCCTTCAGGCCTTTTGTTCATAGGGTCACTAGAAGACGTGCTCAACTATAAGGCAATCAACAACAACTACTTACAGCTTGAAGATATGGAATCTAAAAGGCTGGGAGAATCAGAGAAGCCTAAGAGGAAACTATTTAAGAAAACAGAGGAGAAGGTAATAGCAGAAAATAGTGACAGAAGTTTTAAAAAAGTTTCATAAGTTGAATAGTTGCCAAATATTCCTTTTGTTCCATTAAACAAGATAAAAGGGCAAATATGAATCAAAGGTCTCTTAAACATGCTTGTATCAGTAGGTTTTAGCAAAACTTTAAGGTAAAAAATAAGCTACATTTGAGAAATGGACAAGAAAAAAAGTGTATGTGGATAAACTATTTTTTGAAAGAAATTTAGCTATAAAAGGAAAAGGCAAAAAGTGATTCTAAAGGCAAATGATACAACTAGTTATTTAAGAGAGCAATACTGCTCAAATGACTGTTCTGTAATTGTCCTCACTCTTCCTTTAGAGAAGGCAATCAATCCTCTTTGGGAGGAGTATCTCATCATATGCTAAGCCTGTGAATAGAATGAGGGGCTAAGATATTACAAAATCCAGGTTAAAATTACTTACGCATGACAAATTATATAGCCAAATTAGATAAAATCCTTGTCTGAAATTTTCCTAATTAAAATAGGAGTCCTCTGTGAAGTTCATTAGTGGTTATAATAGTGGATATATATAAGAGAATAATAGGAAGAAATGAAATTAATGTCACTTGACTATAGATGAAATGGTGAATGTTACGTATTTTCTACTAAAATTAAAAATAACAAAAATTAAAAAAAAAAAAATAAGTGTCTCCTGTCATGTGGAGAAAACTGGCAGAAAAAAAAAGGAGAGGGTGTAAAAAGGACTATAAAACCAGACAATGGAATATATCCTAGTTGTTTCTAATCCCTGAGATCTCCTCAGAGGTACACTAGCATTTCTGGCATATGTTCAGGATATCTGCTAGCTACTTCAGCATTCTCCAATCCAACTTTTGGTCATTTAAGTCTGGATTAATAAATGATCTTTTAATAGAACAAAAAAAAATCCCTTAAGTAATAAAGTTTAAGTACATTTACAGAAAGAAAATGTTGAAGGAGCTCTCACACGCAGGCTTGCACATTTACTGTGAAGTAAAATCTAAGGTGCTCTAATGAAAGTAAGGAAGAATCCAGTGAGAAGTTTAGATTCTCTACAGTTGGTCCTGGGAGTGGGAATCAACTAGGTGTAAAAGAATGTTTACCTGTAATGTTTAGACAGGAAATCATGAGTGTACAGTGACATTCACATGATTATATAATTTAGGAATCAAGTAAAAATAGAAAAGGCAGATAGTAAGTAAGGCAAAGGTTGAGATTTTACAGTCAGGCACAGTAAAATGAAGGAAGAAGAGGAATGAGAACTGGGCAGCAAAGAAGCTAAGATACCAGGAAAAGAGTAATGGAGTTAAGGAAAAGAAAATGTAACCAACTATAGAAAGAGAAAACAAGGAAGAAAGTCCAAGCTCTAAAGATGAATTTTATTTGTCAGAGGCAAATAACAGTGGGAATCAGACTTGAGGTTAGAATATGATGAGATGACAATCCAAATATAAAAAGTTCAGAGGTAAGTACTAGGTAACTTTAAGATCTAGGATAAGACCATATTTCACTGGGTTACTGACATATATGTAGATATCTGAAGTAAAGAGGATGAATAAATAAATTACCCAGGACGTTAGTAGAAAGTTAGTACTAAAGTGTTCAATAAATAAAGAAATCAAATTAAATATAATAAATAAGATTTGCCATAGAAGTATTTTCAATATGGCAAACAAGTAAAACAGCAAAATAATTCCTCAAAAACTTGCATGAAATTTCAAATTTTTAGGGAAATTATACTTAATAGATCTACTAAGGCTACTGGAAACTGTGAAACTACTTCCTGGAAACAATTTTTAAAGCTTGAACTGAAATGACTGCATAATTTTAAATAAATTGTTTCTTTTAATAAAGAATGTTTACTGTCAGTATTACA